GGGGGGGCATACATACACTCATTTGTGAGAAAATTGTATTTCATAATCGGGAAATCTCAATTCATCAGTTCATGAATGATTCGTAATTATTTATAATTGCGAACCAGATAGCTACCAGTGTCGTGCGAACACACTTTAGGTACAGCGACAGACACAATGGAATTAAATTCTGCTCACTCAGCTCTTTTATTTAGCAATATACCTTTGATTTAGCACACCTGCTTGGTGTTTGTGGCGCAGTGATGCATTGAAATGCTACAAATAAATGTCTGGACACGCGGCCCGACTCGTTCAATAAAAAATCGCTGACATTTGAGCACGTCGGTGCCACAAAAGAACTTCATAAGGGATGCTGTCAACATGTAATTAAAAGCGAGGGCTACATTGATGGCACCTTGTAAAGAACGGTAAAGTATATGAGGGGAGAAAGAGGAGGCGGATAATAAAGAAGGCGAATGAGAGGAAACCGAGCGGGGAAAGAGCGGGAGTGAAATGTACAAAGTGTGTTTGGGAGACATGGGAGGAAGTGCACAGCAAATGGGAGTGATGGCGTAATGCATAAAAAATGGATCAGAAATGAGGAGGGGAGATGGAGAATGGTGAGGAATGGGAGGGGGTGGGGGGCTGATGAAAGGAGGGAAAAAGTTGTGGGGGGGGGCGGTTTCGATCCCGCACAAAAAAAAAAAAAGCTGAAATAGCATCTGGGAGCTGAAACGCTTGACCTCTGCCAAGGTCAAACGTTTGCATTGCAAGTCCATTAAGTCCCAACGTCATCAAAGGTGTTTTTAATCCGTTTGTGATAACGCTCGCTTCTCGGATCATTCAAGTTATTATCATATCTCCGCTAAGGTTTTTGTTGGGATTGTAAATGCCACTGACAAATGCATGTTGACCGAGGAGAATGTCCTGGGGACAGACAACACAAAGCTGGACGTTTTTGACGAGGCCCATCAGCTCAAAAATGAAGAATAGCGAGAAAAGAACACTGTCCCTCGTTATTTCTGTGACCACTGTGGGTTATTCGCTGATTCACGGACAAATTGAGTGCATTTTTACAAAAATCGGTCCCCAACCCGTGTGGACTTTTGTTGAACTTCGAGTTCACGTTTGGTCGTGCTCGTGAATTTGTTAATCACGAGTGACGCTCCACCAGCTTCAAATACTGTAAATCTCCATCGTCAATGACATTATTCCCACTGGCAGCCTCTTGATGCAAGAAATAAACGTGTGAGGTCAAAGCCAACCCTCAGGTCTACACACACACACACACACACACACACACACACACACACACACACACACACACACACACACACACACACCTCCTCCTCCTTATAACCTCTTATTCTTCATGTCTTCACCCTCCTCCTCTTCTTCATCTTTGCTAATAGATTCCCACCTCCCTCAGTGCCCTCCAAAAGGGGGCGGCGGTAGATTGCTTCCCTCTAATCCCGCCTTGTCTTCCTTGTCACACGCTTCCAAACGAGCCCTTGGCTTCTCTTGTCACACCTCGTTTGGACGCGAGACGATGGACATGATGTATGCGCCACCCACTGGCCAGCCCTCTTTAACCTTGCCGCCCACCCTTCTTCCGCCACCCCCCCCCCACCCCACTCTTGTCCCCCCACTCCCACGTCTGTGTCAATCCACAAACGTGAGATTAAAAGAAACCCCTTGAAAGTGATATTTTAATTGGGCGACCCTCACTTTCCCCTGCATTATATATAGCATGTAAGCGCCCATCCATAATAGATGAAAAGACTGCTTTTGCTGCAACAATTATGACAAGTGAGATTTAACATCTCCGCCCTGGCAGAGAGACGACTGTATGTATGTCCATTAATTATTTAACGGACACACGGGGAGGCAATGGTGGAAAAAAATGGGCGATCAAAGAAAATATTCAGGGCGGTGGTGAAAAGGGAGAGGGAGTGTGTCCATCACTTCCTGCTCCAACCACGTGCGGAAAACTTAACGTGGACCCTTGTTTCCCCGTTGTGGAGGACACGTTCATGTATCGCGGGTTCATGGTGGCTGCCGATACCAGCCACCAATACTTTGGGGGGAAAAAATAGTAAGTCCACCTCAGCAGTAGTTTGACATATCGGTGAATCATTTTCTGCGTCAGAAAGAAAGTTCTGTTGGCAACTCAAAGAAAATATTCAGGGCGGTGGTGAAAAGGGAGCAGGAGTGCGTCCATCACTTCCTGCTCCAACCACGTGCGAAAAACTTAACGTGGACCCTTCCCGTTGTGGAGGATACGTTCATGTATCGCGGGTTCATGGTGGCTGCCGATACCAGCCACCAATAGTAAGTCCACCTCAGCAGTAGTTTGACATGTCGGTGAATCATTTCCTGCGTCAGAAAGAAAGTTCTGTTGGCAAATTTTTTGTCGTTGAGTTCACTGAAATTTTGTGGATCAAAAGTACTCCAGGTATCGGTACAGTGAAACTCCTCTACAATGAAACCTACATGGGCGAAAATACCCCCTAGTGTGAAAAAATATTCATGCATTAACACCATTTCCATGTCCTGCCCCCCATAAAACGAAAAAAAAAGCCCTGTTGGGTTATATGAAATCTTTTTCTCTGCTCTTGCCTCGCAACGAGATTCACTACAACGAAGTCTAATCCAACAGCGACCTCTACTGCTTCGTTCGGAAACCTCAACAGCAACCACCACACTGGTGTACTGTGTGAGTGTGTGTTTACATCTGAGATCAAATTTGCTACAGTGAAAAACCCCCTGTTGTGAAAAATTTCTTGCTGCAAACATGATTTCGTTGTAGAGGAGTTCCACTGTACTCTGCAACGGTGAGTACTCGGGCAATGCCTACTCATACTGCCACCCTTGTACAGGGGTGCCCAACCTGTCGATCGCAAAAACAAAAACTTTAAAAAATGGGTCACCTTCAACCTACGGTGGTGCACGATCTGCATCGCCGGAAGTCGCTAGCGATCAGCAGTCTGCAATTGCAGCTTACAATCAGAGCAGTTGCGATATATCTTTTTTTCTATTATCATTATTCCCATTCAAAGTTCATTAAACAACCGCTCGCTTACCAAATATGTACATAAAGGGTGTTATACATTCCATATCACAAATCCTTTGCATGCGAATATTAATCTCTCCAAGGTTAATCACCAGCCAGTCATCAAACACGCTTCCCCGGCATATCTCCCCCTGCCAGCCGGTCGACTTTCACAACTTCTCAGTTCAAAGCGGGCCAACTAACGGCGAGCCATCCAGAGTGGAAGACTTTGAAGGCGAGTCCAACCGCACCGCAAAGGGCCCTCCATTAAAAAGGAGAGCAGTTGTGGACACGTTTATTCAGCTCTCATAGATTCTGGAAAATTCCACTTGAAAGCCACAGACGGAGAGGGAAGGGATGACGGGCAACATTCCCAAAGGGTGTTTATGGGGGTCCCATTCAGAGTGACCTCAATAGGCCTCTGCTGGAGTACCTGCTCGATGAGGATCCATCATAAGAGAGTGGAGGGGACGGGGGGGAGGGGTCCTCACACAATGAGTTGCGACTTGTATGTTCCTGATGATATCGATTCAAGAGAGTGACACTCACCTTTTGCGTGGAGAGCCGCCGACACCCTCTAGCCGCCACCCCCCCAGCAACCTGAGAGTCACACTTCATGTACAGGCGCAGAATATAAAGCTCCCAATATGGCCGCCACCCCCTATAGAAAACCTCTTAGCACTCACTCCGACGTCTGAGGCATTTCCTCTTCATCCCTCTGCACAATGACACCAGTAGAAATGATTGGCCATTACCGCGGAGTGCTCTCGAAATAAAATGTCGCGGCAAATTATCGTAAAAGTTGAACACACCATGCATGTAGTCACGAGACGACATTTTGACTCCGTTTCAGAGGAGGTATGAAGTAAAATTTGTTTGCTAGATAATTGTTCTGCTAGATAAACACCCGCAAAAAAAAAAATGGACACGGTGTTGATGAAGCTGATGTGGCTTCTAATGAGTTTCGGAAGCCACGCACGCACATTTGCATGGAACGGATGGACTCTTCTTTGCATTTAAACGTATTCAATTAGAGGCAGCGGCGGTGTCTCGATCAGGCGCGGCGATAACGGGCCCAAAGTCAGCCTCACCTCTAGAAACACGGCCCTCCGCAGCCCGCCTCTTCCAGATGTTATCGGGAGAATTCACTTTTTTTTTTTTTTTTTTTAACAATGCCACTTTGCACATCGAATAGGGCCTCCTCGTCTTCATTCTTTTCCCCCCCCCGCATGCATCCGCCGACCTCATCGGCAACGCACGAACGAGCCTTTACAAATTGCACGCGTTCACCACCGCGGGAGGCAGAAGCACGACGGAAGAGGACGAGGAGGGAGGCACTTGGATGACATTGACGCAGCTGCCCGACTAGACCAGCCGCCGCCACATTCACTGCAGAAACTCACATGGAAGCTGCAAATATCAACAACCGAGGCGATAAGATATCGCCACAAATCTTAAGACCTGCAATGTATTCTAACTTATTCCGATGTCATTGACTGTTTGTGAGCAATACGAGTTAAAAATGAGAAATCCGATGATTCGATAGATGATGTTTACAGTGAGCCAAATGTTTATCGCTTGAGATCGGGGTTGGGGTTGTCGTAGTTTTGAAGTTTTCATCATCGTTCATTTTTATTTTGATGAGTTTTTAAGTCATTCATGTTGAATTCATTTTTTGTTTGTTTGCATATTTTCAAAAATGCTATGTTGTATAATTGAGTGTTGATTAGTTTTAGTATTACTTTGAGTTTTTTTTTAATATGTACTATTAAGTGCAAGATAAATAAATAAGGTCACTAAGTCCATCTTGACTGAAAGTAAACACCTGACCTTCCTTTTTCTATTGCTACGAATGTACAGCAATATTGAAATAAATACATTTAAAATCGACCCCAAAAGCTGTGCATGACATTAACTGGAAAAGATGAAGGACATTTTCACAATAATCATTGATAATTTTCATTTTTGCGTGAGGCCAATGAGGCCACTTTAGAGCGCCTCATTGTCAGCTGTGAGTGTGTGCACATCACATAGACAAAGGCGAAAGACGGAGGATGTCGCATGTAATAATTGTTTTTAATATCTAGCTTGATAGCCAACGCATTGGATCGGCGCTTCAGGCTGGCGTGGTCACTTTAGAGTGCCTCATTGTCAGCTGTGAGTCCAAGATTGAGGATGTGGCTTTTAGGAATTGTTTTGAGAATCCAACTTGACAGGCAACGCGTGGATCGGGGCTTGAGGCTGGCGTGCGTGATCACTTTAGAGCGCCTCATGGTTGTGGGGGACCCGGTAGGATAAATTCTATCAACCAAATGCTTTTACATGATATTTTATCACTTTCAACATGTAGTTAAGAAAGATACTAATCGACATAAGAAGGATGCTAGATAACAAAGCATCCCGTTTTCAAGGTCGCGGTAGTAGGATATGATTGAAAGTTGACAGGTGTTCTGTTTATCATTCAAATTTTGGAAGGCAGTGAACATCCTCCTTTGTGGTCTGTCAGATTTTAAGTACTGTCAATTTGCATGGACTTTACACAATCTTACCAAGTAAAATTCTACCGTTCTCCATAATTTGGTTGAAAAAAGTAAATATGTAGCCCTAATTTTTACGACTTATTTTTCTCGTTTTGTGATCCCGGTTTTTGCAACGTGGCTCCAAATCCCCCCTGAGAGCCCGCATGTGTGAAGAAGAAACAACAACCTGCCAGTCGCTCCTCCTCTTCCCTCCTCTCCTCCTCCCCCTCCTCCTCCTCCTCCTCCTCTTCCATCCCTCACTTGATGCCATCCCAGTGTCGGAGGAGAGCCTGCGCGACAGCGGAGACGGTAAGAAACGACGCCTTGTAACTTGTTTGCGGGTCGTTATGCACGCGTGCATGTTGAATCGCTCAATGAAAAGTCGGATTGAAAGGCAAGGCAACGCCGGCAGGTGCTAAACATCCCCCAGCCGTCACCTTGTCAACCGTCCTCTCCGCCTCAATGGAAAGACAAGTACCACCGTGCAACTTAATCCCTCCCAACGTACAAATGCCAGAAGGCAGATGGTCCGGGAAGCGAACGGGACGTGTGAATGGATACCACACGGCATCCAACCTGTCCCTTTTTGGCTTCCATCTGAGCCAAAGGGACATCATTTGGTTTGTACCAAATGATTGAGAAGAAGTGGAATAAACAGCGGGGAGGTATGGAAAAGGAGGGAGGGGGGGAGGAGGGGGGGGGCGGAATATATATTTAAATCTGAAAAGCCAGCGGGGCCATCAAAAGTGGTGAGCTGCAGTGTTTTAAGTGGACGGCGTGTGTATTTATAGAGGCCGCTGGTTAAGTTCACTAAGCTGCCGCTCTTGCACTCCCTCTCTCTCATTTTTGCCTGATGAAAATTCATCTGCCGAGCAGCCAAATGCATATTTCATCAGCCGCACCACACACACACACACACACACACACACACACACACACACACACACACACACACACACACACACACACACGCACGCACACACAATCTGTATAAAAGTCAATCAGCTTGTCCTTAAAACGTCAACCAACTTGAATGTTTGTTTTTTTTCCTTTTTTTTCTGATTCCCAACCATTTTTTCCCCCTTTACTTTCCTTCCCCTCTAATTACTCCAGCATCCAACAACATCCCTCCAGTTCCCTCCCTTTCTCCATGCAAGAGTAATGAGCTGCCACCGTCTCTTATTTTGTGCCACTTTGTAGCGAGTAGAGTTTGGAATCCGGGAGCGTCCCGCAAGACTCAGATGTGTGTGTGTGTGTGCGTGTGTGTGTGTGTGTGTGTGTGTGTGTGTGTGTGTAGCCGCCTCCGTGGTTCTCCCTGCCGCGATTGTCATCTGATCTGCGGGGGCACGGCGCTAACATCTTGTTAGAGGGAAAGGCGCTCGTGTCGGTTTGCGGAGACGCCGTCACTTTGAACAAACGCGGGCCTCTCCGGGGAGGAGAAAAGTACACGCAGACCTGTAATCATCTCGTCTGTAAGCCAAGTAAACCCAGGCTGCGTGCACCTGCACGGCACAGAAATAGATGGATGGAGTAGAATGGAAATGAGTTTGGTACATGATCATCGGAGGCCCAGACGGGTTTGATGAAGTCGTTCTACGAGCGCAAGATTCTGAGAGGCTTTTGTTTCCCACCTGGGGGGAATAAGCTCTGCATTCTGAAAAGTGCTGGGTCAAAAGTAGCCCAAATTGGGTGAAATAGCTAACCCAGCGCTGGGTCCAAGAAGGGGTGTGCCAATGCTATGTCATTGAGGACATGGAGTCAACATCTGGATCCAACAAGGGGTGAAAACTACCCATAATACTGATTAATGAAAGCTAACCCCAAAAAAAATGGCCGACCGGGTTATCGGTATAGCTGCACGTGATCAAAAAAAAAAAAGATTTTTATGACCAATATTTTACACGAAAAAGAAACAGAGGCAAAGCCGTGGCGTTACAACGAGGCAACAGGCTTCTGGGTGCGAAAGTAGAAACCAAAAAAGTGAACGTCCTGACTCCACAATAAAAGCATTTGCACTTGTGAAGTCAGAACGTCATGCACTACACTAGAGGCGCCCGACCTTTTTTGACCGAAGATCTACTTTTCAAGCAACCAATCTTCGACCGACTGCTGACGGCGAACAACTTCCGGCGATGCAGGTGATGCGCCGCCGTAGGTTAAAGGTGACCTGCTTTTTCATTTCATAATAATTTTTTTAATATACATTTTTTTGTGAAAATGAAACTGACGGGGTGCTTAGGGGGCAGTATACACCAACACAAAAATATATAATATAGATAACATGCACACAGACACACAAATCTTTGTTAAAATAGCAGAAGAAGTTCTGCTGTGATGTGACGGATAGCTTTTCCTTCTGTGTGTTTCTAGAACCAAGAGACAATCAGATGTGGGGACTGGCCGAAGCGAAGAAACTGGAATAATGTCGCTAGCGTTGCTGTCCCGCTGTCTCGGTGCAGTTCTGGTGCTGTTCTGGAATCCGTCGTGGCCCCCGGCCCATTCGGCTTCAGCGCCTGAGAACGAGGTGACCCACTGGCCCACCGCGTGGTTATCGGAAGGGAAGCCCACCACTGTGACGCTCCCTAAAGGACGCACTCGCAGGTCGAGCAACAACAAGCACAATTACGCTGTCTATCGGTGGCTACTATCAGTTTCTCAAGCTGACTTTCTTCCGCAGGATGTACTTCACACTGAGGAAGGCAGCGGCCATGTCAGTGACGGTCAGTCCTTGTGACTCACCCATCGAGTGGAGTCTGGCTGCTCGCACCCTGAAGGACAAACTTCTCAAGAGTCAGGAGTGTGCGTGAACTGCAAACATAAAGCAACATCCATCCATCCATTTTCTATCGCGCTTATGCTTATTAGGGTCGTGGGTGAGCTAGAAAGAGACGAGGTTAAATCAGGTGTGTCGGAGGAGGGAAACATCTAAAAACAAGGGGTAGGGAACTCCGGTTCCACAGGAGCCATACCCTGCATGTTTTCGGTCTCTCTCTACTTCAAGACACCCGATTCATATGATCAGCTCATCACCCAACTCTGTTCGAAGCCTGAAACCATCACCATCAATTGAATCAGGTGTGCTGGAGGAGGGAGAGATCTAAAACAGGAAGGGTATGGCTCTCGAGAACCAGCGTTGGGTGACCCCTGATATACACAAACAACCATTCACACGTGGACAATTTAGAGTCATCGGTGAATCAAATGGGTACCATAAAAAAAGCATAAGAAAAGGCCAAAATAGGAGTATTAACATTAACATGGTGCTAAGGGTAGCGTTAACATTCTTGCTAAGGGTAGAGTTTATGCTTGTCACCCAGGACACGTTGTGTTGTGTTAGCGTTAGCATTGTTGATAAGTGTTCTGATCAGTTGTGTACCACTCTTTGGCTTCTATAATGTTGGTGGGCCAGCCAGGACGCATCTTGTGTTGTGCTGAAATTAGCATTACTGCGAGGCATGGAGTAGCTATAGACCTGTGTGCTGTGTTTTTGGTATTCATATCATAACTCAAATAAGTTCCGTTCCTATGTATATTGAATTGCAAAAACGAATGGATGTCTCGTACTGTCCAACTCTCTAGCATCTTTAAATCAGTGTCATTTCACGACTGGAAGGGGGAGATTGGGAGCGAAAACCCATTGTTCCCATCCTCTGCTGAAAAGATACGTCGTAACATGAGAAGATGAGAGTCCACTTAAGTGAATCACTATGCCTCAACAACAGATATTTAACTGTTTCTGCTCAAAGAGTTCACAACCTGTCAGCCAAACTAACTTCTCCACATGGTAAAGTAACAGAAATGACATGATAAAATGACGCATGAAACATTCAGAGCCTCAGTTGGCGGGTCCCCCGTTGCCCGTATGAATTATTCACTTTGATTCTGTAACATTTGAAGAGAGATTTCTCCTCGGCTGTTTTTTTTTTTCAGTTACTGGTGACATCATTCAAATGAGGTTCGCACACTTTCCAATGAATTGACATTTATGGTTTTATTATATGCTGGGGTTTTTTTTTCCTCTTTTGAAAATTTGGGTTGATATCCAATATTCATCTAAGGTCTGCAAATGTAGGGCGCAAACAATGAGAATGATTTTCGTATTTTTCGTATTTCAACTAAACGTTCCAGTAAATGTGTCGATAAACTCCAGCGATGTTTTCCACTGCTCTCGGTGACTGTGTGTTGCACTAAATATAGGTTACAGTTTAATTTATGAGGTACTTTTTTTGGCACTGGATTTAAATAACTTTTGATTTTTTTAACATGTTCACCAGCCATTTTAACTCTTTATAAGATAAGATAAGATAAGATATCCTTTATTTGTCCCACACTGGGGAAATTTACAGCCTTCAGCAGCAAGATTGAGGGTAGAAAGAAGAGAAAAGAAAACACAGTTCAATTAAGTGCAATATAAATATAAATATGGATAAGGTCAATAAGTTCAATTAAGTGCAATATAAATACAATAGTTTTGCAGTTTTAGCCTTCATTAGCTTCACTCATAATGTGGTAGATTTACTTGGTTGTTTAATTTCACACTTGATGGGTGGCAGGAACTACGGCATGTTGAATATTCTTTTTCCCCACAGGGAGCTCCAAAAAGAGCATGCCCGAAATGTGGTGGAGAGGTCCTGGGACGGAGGAGAAAATCCACACTTTTTCCGGCAGTGCAGTGGACACCTACAGTGGTCCGACGTCCCCTCGCGCGTCCATCTACATCCTGAGGTTGCGATCCAAGCAGCAGAGCGGCAGAGCCACGGTGTACCTCCACCAAGGCCCGGGCCTGTCGGGCGTTTTCCCAGTCATTCCGTCTGACCCCCGAGTACACACGTTGGGCGTGGGGATGACGAGCGTCACCCTCAGCTGGACTCCCAGCCCCTCGCTGGCTGGTCCCGCTCAGGACAAATACGACTACTGCGTCCTGGTCAACTCCAAACGCAACTTGCCCAGCCTTTGCGCGGCCCAAGAGACCACCAGGGAGGAGACGAATAAAAACAGAGAGAAGACGGAGAAGAAGAGGAGGATGACGGCATGGCCCATCCTGAAGGAGTGGTGGTGGGAGCAGTGGGAGGTGGACTTGGAGGAAAAGAGTCCATCTTCTCATGGGGATCTCCGGTGTGCCTGCGAGGGGACGGAGAGCGTCTGCACAGTCTCCGAGCTATTACCTGACACGCAGTACTACTTTGACGTCTTCGTAAGGGACCGAGTGAACGGGACCAGCGCGGCCTATGAGGGGACCGTCGCCCGGACCCACGGGGAAGCCCGGCCGTCCGTCACCGCGTTGAGGGAAGGCGAGTTGAGGTGGATCACCTTCCAGGACAGCGGCCCGAGATCCGAGTCGTTCTTCAGCTTCCGTCCTCGCGGCTCGCAGCAGAGTGGTCTCCTCACCGCGCAGGGCTGCGGAGGGGGCAGCAAATTCAAGATCACCGTGTCCGGTAAAGCTCGTGTTCTGACCACCCAGGCCGTGGGGAAGGAATTGGTGCAGATTTGGCTCCAGGGAAGCCCGCTTTATCTCATCCACTTGGAGAGGGAAGGACCCGCCGTGAGCGAGAGCTCCACCGCTGCCTTAGCAGGGGGTCTGAAGGCTTCGGTCAAATTGCAGACCTCGTCCGCGTACCACCGCAAGGGCGTCCCGTCCCTTCCGTCCACCTTGCAAGTCAAATCCTTCAACCGCTTACGCGGGTGCAACAGTGTCACCCTAGCCTGGATGGGCACCGAAGAGAGGAGCCTCTACTGTGTGTACCAGCGAAAGCAGGGGGGCCGACATGACGAGGACACCCTCGACGCATCCTGCCTGGGACCGGAATCCCGCTCGGATACCGAGAGGGTTCTCTGCAAGTATTTCCAGGAGCTGAACCCGAGGCGGGCCGTCACTACGGCTGTGATCGGGAGCCTGGAGCCGGGGACCACTTATGTGTTTGACGTCTATTTAATGAGACGCTGGGGGATTCCCGTCAAGTATGCCAGCAAGACAGTCAAGACCAGGAAGGAGTGCTGAGATGCCGCCCCCTGCAGGAGGGTTGTGGACTAAACTGTAAAGCCTGACCATGAGAATGAAGCCAGTTGACTGTGGTGGGGGGAAAAAAAAAAGGCGTATTCCTTTTTGGAGGAGCAATAGTTGGCCTGGCCACTTGTCTTCTTCTCGGGACTCGAGAAGAATCCGCACACCAGCAAATTTTCAGATGATTCCTGTTTAATATTTACAATAGAATGCTCGCGTCGCTTCTAATCATCCATCGTGATAAAGACGTGGCAGCGGTCCAAGTGCTCGTTTTGTGATCGAGTACAAAGGACAGATGAGGTTTGTGTTGTCAGAGCACACAGGCAAAAAAAAAAACAAAAACAACAAAAAACAAAAAACAGAGTCCATGTGGCAAATATGCAACAGAAACAGATGGGCCAATAATTGGATGACATCTGAGATATGTGGGTGGGAAGGGGAGCAGCGGGAGGCTGGGGGGGATTTGTAGTATATATTTCCGGTGCTGCTTATTGTACCAGTGCAGCAAGAGTGCAATCTACAGATGCTTAGTTCAAAGTCAAAAATGTGTATCTTTGTGTTGTGCTTTTCGCATGAAGAAGTGGAGAAAAAAAAAAACCTACTTGTGACTATAGCCTCATTGTCATTGATGTATTCTTGTGCTGTCTCAAACGCCCCAATAAATTCCGCGGTATCGCTACATTTTTCACTATCAAGTCACAACAGACTTCTCCTTTTGACAGTGACGGATTGAATGCATGAACCAGAGGTGGGCATTCCGTCAGTGCTGACAAAAGGTTCTTCAGTCCGTCACTGACGGACTGACGGCCATTTCACAGACGCCTGAGAGAAACACGTGCCACCTATCTCGTGTGTTTATTTGCAGATGTGAATAAACCAGCAGGATTGTGCCAATTTGGCTTCTGGTTAAAGTAAACCATTTTAAATGTTGAATTGAAACTTTTTGTCATTTTTGGACCTAAACTTCTACCCTTAACAGCTTCCACTGAAATAATTGAAAATATTTTGAAGTGAAAATAAACCTAAACCTTTTGGGCTATGGTCGCCCAACTCAAGACACAATTTTTTGTCATTCAAGCACAGTGCGGTCAATCACTTTCCATGACTCAAAAGTATTATGGTGCCGACTGTTTACAAACAGAAAATGGGTCCGCTCTATACGAACAGTATTAGACTTTGGTTTGATGCACTTTTTTTGTTGTTGAAACATACACTAGAAAGGAATACAAAAACGTATTATGAATACTTCGTGGCAAGACCCAGATACCATGTAACATGTCCCCAAGTGGCTTTTAAGATTACATTTGTTTGATGCCAAATAATTGCGAAGATCGTTCAGGAAATGTCATGACATCATTGCTGCGTCAACCGTCTTCTGGCCATGATATCACTTGACTGGTACATTTTGCTGGAAAAAATCCAATATTTTGTAATTTAATACATTTTCGTGACTGAGAAACACGTCTATCTATCTATAAAATCTTAAACTTGCCCCAAAATTACATGTAACAAAAACATCAGCAGAACCAGCTGTCAATTTGTCATAACTGATAGCTGTAAAATATAAAAATATGAAACTTGACTAATGTGTTATGACGTTTCTGTCACAATATATCACAAGAAGGTCTGTCGCGTAGATATGACGCCATAAATCACTGTAACCAATAGAACATTACGTTGGACTATGACGTCAGCACGTTTGTGCCTGTGCGGATGTGTGTCGCAGTCAAGCGCGCCAAAACTGTCAAGCAGCAACCAAAGCAAAGCGGTACCTACTTGGCCTGGCTGAACTCAAAACGTTGGGCAAAGCGAAGCGACGGCAGAATGGGTTTGCTCGACCGGTGCCAGGAGCTGTTCAAGACGGCGAGCCTGTACGAAGTGCTGGGCATCAACAAGGAGGCGACCGAGGCGGAAATCCGCAGGAGCTACTACAAAGTGTCGCTAAAGGTTCACCCGGACAGAGCCCCCGACGACCCGCTGGCCACTGAGAAGTTCCAGGTAACCTTTGCTAGCCTTTAGCTGGTCGGATGTTTATAGAAGATCGGTGCTATCGTACAACTTAATCTTGAGTTGTCGGGTTTTTGCATCGTTTCGATGCGTTTTTAATCAGTTGGCTAAACAAGAGTACGAGGGCAGGCTTTTAAACCCAAAATGCTTGCACTCCATATTTTATTTTGGCACCTCAACTAAAAGAAAATGCCATTTACAATGATAATCAGATCACAGTGTTGAGTTTTGTTTGCAGTAATCTGTTAGAAAAACATCTCCGAGGCCTTACAATATCACCAGGTCAATAACTGAAACTGATGCATTAAATCTCCTCTCACAGGTGTTGGGCAAGTTGTACGCAGTGCTTAGCGACAAGGAACAGCGGGTCATCTATGACGAGCAAGGTGTGGTGGACGAGGAGTCTGACATTTTGAGTCAGGATCGCTGCTGGGAGGACTACTGGAGGCTGCTCTTCCCCAAAGTAAGTGTTGAAATTCATCAAGGTGGGCTCACGATCCATCGGGCTGTTCTAAAGAGATGGCCGTTTTCACGCAGTATCAATCCGGTCTGTCCTCTAGATCACCGTGCAGGACATCCTTGAGTTTGAGGAGCAATACAAGGGCTCCGACGAGGAGAGGAAGGACTTACTGCAGTTATACATGCAGCACCAGGGAGACATGGACGCCATCCTGGCCTCAGCGCTGTGCAGCTCCCACGACGACGAGCCCAGACTCGGAGACATCATCCGGGCCGCTGTCAAGGATGGGGAAGTGGAAGAATTCCCCGCCTTTGCGCAGGAGAGCAACAAGAAGAAAAGGGCTCGCAGGAAGAGGGTGAGTGCCCCCCGCCCTAATCCCTCCCCGACTCAACACACACCCAGAAATTCACATCCAGTCTCCTAAATGTGATTTTCAAACCAGGCGGACAGAGAGCGAAAAGAAGCAGAAGAGATGCAAAAAGCGATGGGGCTCGGCCAGGACTACGACAGCCTCAGGATGATGATCAAGGTTGCAAACGCCTTTGTACACGTTTGCTTTGCTTGCTTTTTCCGGAGCTAATCAAGCTTCATTTTTGTTTTGTTGTTTTGTGCAGCAAAAACATGCATCCAGGGAGCAGAGCTTCAACAACTTCCTGTCCGACATGGAGACCAAGTACTCCAAAAAAGGTGGAAAATCGTCAAAGAGGGTCAAGAAGTGAAGAGCATGTGCACCCTTTAAGTTATGGACATTTTTTTTTTTTTTGAGTTACTGTTGATTGCCATTAGTTCGGCAGCATCATCTGAGTATGTTAATGTTGATGTAATACAATAAAAGTGCATTTCGTGTTGCCAATAAAATTACTATTCTTGTTACACCACTTGCCTTGATTGAGTTTTTTTCGACACTTCGAGCTTAAACATAGTACACATGTGCTATTAATAATTAGCATTTTCCCCTGCTTTCAAAGTCAACTCAGGCCTGCTCATCAGGTGTGTTTTAAAGGAGTGATATTTCCTCTGCGATCTGCTTGTAATAAGTCAGATCGATAAATATTTAACCTTTTCACTATTTCCCGAGCCACAGACTAAATATACATGACATTGAAAACAATATTCAACTTCTTTTTTTGCTTTTTGGGGAGTCTGGATGTCATGTGGCCTCTCACAGTTCATTCTTGGTACTACATTGGACACCTGATAGAGGGACGAGTTGATTATCTGAGGAGATATGCTGTGTTATGTTTTTTTCTTTAAAAATGTACAGATGTTAGCATTTGTTGTGTGAGTGTCTTTTTGGGAGTGTTTTTTTTTTTAAATGCTGTTTTGCAGTCAGAGGAGAGCAGATGTCACATTAAAATAAGAACTCCAAAACCAGCTCAGAGTGTTCTTCTTTTGGCAGAAGCTGATTTGAAATACAAAAATAGATTTTTAACAAAGCGGCACATGAACAGTATGAAACGTTTCTGTAAAAGAACAAAAAAAAAAAAGTGTGGGCACTTTGCTGTGCGCTGCATCTGTCCAGTATCGAGAAGAAAGACTAAAGTGCATGGAGACAATTTGAAGCCACCAGTTTACAGTCCTGGTCTGCTGTGTCGTGATGCGATGCCCCCCCGACTGTGAGAACGAGATGTGCCGGACACGGGCACCAACGGACCTGCAAGAAAGGAAATTCAGCCATTATTTGTTATTATTGTCAAGGTTAAAAGGTACTTTTGTTTTGGATATATTAGGAAGTGATTGACATTTATTTGTAAAACTGTACAGAAAGTCTCAGGGGATGGAAAACCCTCCAGGTACCTGAAGTGTGATTTTTTTTGTTTTGTTTTTTGTCTACTAACCTGGGTGCGAGGCTTGAAAGTCCGTCTCCTCGTCCTCGTCCCTGATTGGCCAGCGGCCCAGTGGCTGGTGGGAAAATGAGTCCAGGAAAGAGGAGCTGCCGATCCCAAGGCTGATGCCGGTCACGCCGATCCCGAGGGAGTCTTGGTGAGGAACCAAGGTAAGAGCGTTACAAATGTCCTGGATCTTTATTACCTACTCCGACATGGTTGCGCAAGTGTGCACACCCTCTCGTAACTGTCATGCGGCTGAGTGCAGAATTGACCAATCAAAATCACCTTAGGTGGGAGTCAGCACACACTTGCCACCATCCAACTGCCTCGAATTGATGCTAGATGAAGTTCAGATGTTCGAGGAGGCTTTTCCTGACATTAGGTTCTCTCTAGCAGAAGCCCGGCGGTGATGTGCTAACACTGACTGCTATTTGGAAGCATTCAGAATTGCCTCTATCTTGTCAAGGCCCCAGTTCCAGGGAGGATAATGTTGCCACCACCGTGCTTCACTCTCGGTATGCGCATGGGCTGCTTTGGTTGGGGTGCGAGGCTTGAAAGTCCGTCTCCTCGTCCTCGTCCCTGATTGGCCAGCGGCCCAGTGGCTGGTGGGAAAATGAGTCCAGGAAAGAGGAGCTGCCGATCCCAAGGCTGATGCCGGTCACGCCGATCCCGAGGGAGTCTTGGTGAGGAACCAAGGTAAGAGCGTTACAAATGTCCTGGATCTTTATTACCTACTCCGACATGGTTGCGCAAGTGTGCACACCCTCTCGTAACTGTCATGCGGCTGCGTGCAGAATTGACCAATCAAAATCACCTTAGGTGGGAGTCACCACACACTTGCCACCATCCAAGTGCCTCGAATTGATGCTAAATGAAGTTCAGATGTTCTAGGAGGCTTTTCATGACATTAGCTTCTCCCTAGCAGAAGCCCGGCGGTGATGTGCTAACACAGACTGCTATTTGGAAGCATTCAGAATTGCCTCTGTCTTGTCAAGGCCCCAGTTCCAGGGAGGATAATGTTGCCACCACCGTGCTTCACTCTCGGTCCTATTTTCCAGTCTTCAGTGTGTCCCCAATAAAGGTAAGTGTCCCACCTGTGGCAACCGAGGCTCTGCCAGGCCTCCCCTGTCCGATGTTGTCCAGCACAGTGAAGGAGCGCCGGTAAGGGGTGTCTGACTGCGGGGCGAGATCGGGGCTCAGACCACAGCGCGAGCGGGAATGATTGCGTCCACAACAGGCGACGACATACCCTGTATGTGTGTGTGGTGTTGGGCCGGGAGAAGACATCCAACGGGAAAAGGCGATCCCTCGGAATTGAAGGGGCGACCTCATCGTTTAGGGCGCTGTGGGCCCGGCTGGATGGGCCTTTGTGGCGCTGGTGGAAAAGGATGAGACAGAATTCTTAGTTTCTCTCATGTGGTAAAATAATACGGAGTCGAAAGTCTGGAGAGTCGAGCATGAAGTTGTGATGATGTTACCTGAGCGGTTTTGGACTGCTCTGTGTCTCCGGCGCCAATGGGCGGCAGGAGCGTGTTTCTGCTCAGTGCAAATAATGGAGACATCAGGCGGTCACTGGCAGTGGGTCTTTGGAGAAATACATTCACTTTTTTTAGTTTACAGTGTCTGCTTTAAAAGAAGAAAAAAAAAAAAAAAAGTCACCGCTATGCCCGACTGATCGACATTCAGGATGCGAGTGGGCCAACTCACAGCCGTGTACCCCGGATGACCTCATCCATCGATCCGGCCGCGTTGGGCTGGCTCGGACTGGGAACGAGGGGCTGGAGCGTGCGGGGTGCCAGGTTTCTACGGCGGGCCGAATGAGGCGGGCGGGTCAGCGAGGACGAGCTCTGCTCCAGGACCCCGCGAGGGCGGGGTCTGCCGGCGGGCGCCACGCCCGAACCCGATCTGAGAGGGCCGCGCTCCTCCGACTCCCTGCCGGGAGTGAATGAAAGAAAAGATGCGTGCCAAGTGATGAGCTTGCTATTTGCAAATTCGCCGATTCATATTTTTGGGGGGGAATCAAAAAAATCTGTTGTAAAATGAATTTCAATTTTGAGATCATGGTTTCTTGGCATTTTTAAACATTTTTTGCGGGAGCCGTTTTTGCTATTCTGTCTCAACGGGTATTACTGTAATTCGCACTGAGTTCTGTCCAGCGCGGCCAGGTTCCTCTGTTGCAGCGGGATGCTGTGGATCATGATGAGGTCATTCAGGTTCTTCTGGACGCCTCCGATCAAGGCCCGGCCCGCCTGGTGAGACAACCAAAAACAAGGGATGAAGATTGTAGGCAACAACTGCACAAAAATATACTTTAAGGAGCCCGGTGCTCCGATGGTTAGTTGTTTTAATGTCAACAATCCAGCCAGCCAGCATCTTCTCCGTTAACTATCGCGCAGCAGCCCGCACCCCCCCGAATCTGCAAGGCCACCAACAAAACAACATTCACAGGCAAGACTTTGAAATAAAAGAGCATTCTCAGGACACACGAGAAGACGGTAAGATGCAGTTCATTCATGAACTGCTTTCAGGGGCTCATGGAGAAGCACAAGCACACTCAGTCTCGAACTAAAAGACGAGGGAGCCAGAATAGCAGCGCGTCGCCATTGTGGCTCCAAGCAGAGGGAATTTACATACACTGGACGGCCTTTTCTGCTTTGGGGGCTTCTGGCGGGACTTGCGCTTTGAGCCCCTCGACTTCTTTAAGTGAGTGGCCGGAGAGAGA